ATTAAAATTTGTCAAATGTGTACTGAATTGAATGAGCTCTTTCTTAGTTTTTCCTGAGATCTCTCTGGAACATCCATCTATTATGCTATTTTTTACAGTTTTCGGAAACTTTGTAAGTCCATATGCCAGATACTAGGGATAATAACACAAATAAAATATCATTCTTCCTTCTCTCGAGGCTCTTATTTCTTTTTACCTGCAGAGAAAGATGTAGATACTTCTTTTAATCCAAAGTGATAAGCACAGTCTCAAAAATAAGTATGGAGGAAATATAAGAATGAAATAGAAGGCAATATTCTACCTTGATTTAGGTGATGAAAAGGAAGCAATGTACAGTACAAGTATCCCCATGGATATTTTCCAGGAAAAGTCATGGTGAATGGAATCTAGATGGCCTAGTTCTTGAACTCTTGAATGTTTATGCTTTCTTAAAAAAAACAAATTGTGCTTTTTCTTCTCTCTGGTAGTCCTTCAAGTACATATACAAAGGGCTTTCAATCTTCTTTAAACCAAATAGCCAATTTCCTTCAATTACTTCTCACATATAAATATCCTATGTCCCTTATTGTATTTCTTCTGTCAGATTAACTTACTTGAATTGCGTCATCTAAAAAAGACTCTCCGAAGTCAATGCACATAGCACATCTTTCAAATTGGAGAGCTATAGCAGAATTCTAAACTACTTAACATAACTCTGTAGTTACAGTGTTACAAGCAAACAATATTGGTAATAGAATATAAATAAAATCAAATACTTTCCCTTAGCATTTTAAATAAAATGAAGCTTTGATAGATGGCTACCACAAAGTGAGATGCTGACATATTTTGGCTTTACTTTTGCAGTGAACATTATAGATTAGTTTCCACAACTAAGGAAGTTATAGGTATCCTCAGGTAAGTAACTCTGTTTAATAAGCTGGAGGAAGATGGCTCAGAGACAGTGTTGTTATCATAGAAACAATTCTTGCCTATTAAATTAGTGATAGAACTAAAGAATTATGGACTTACCAGAGCATATTAAGTATAGCATGTAAGGAAATGTTGAAATGTCTGAAGATACAGACATTAGTTATAGCGACAAAATATTGTTCTCATTCTAAAACACAACATTTGCTTGTTTTCTAGAGGCATAAACTTAGCAATACATCTATCTACTCTTTAAATAAGAATTTTTTAGCTGGAAATGATTCATTCCGTTTCTTCAAAGAGATTCAGGAAAATCTGCTGAATTCGTCTGAAGATCTAAATCAACCCCAGAGTACACGGGTGTACTGGAAAAGCACAGACCCCCAAGGTGATCAAACAAGCCCAACAGCTGTTAGGTGCCCATTAGGATAGTACTAGAAGTGTATATTTTATGAATTTCTCCTGGAATATTTGTATCTAAAATGAGACTAGAAATCACATTCTCTCCTATAAAGTTACACTGAGAAGCCCCAAAGTGGAATAATTGTGTAATTAATAAAAACACAGAGCTCATTTGCTGTTTTTACATCAGTCCACATTATTATCTCTTCTGGGGCTAAACCTGATCATTATTAGGGTTTTGGGAAAAAATGGGGCTTTTATTGAAAATAATTTATCAGGTGCTTGTCAAGCCATTCTCATTTAGTTGGCACAAAATGAGTAAATAGTAAGCTCTGTGAGGGTAAGTTTCCTTTAACATAGGAAATATCACATGGTAAAGATTTCGTATATACTTACAACAGATTAAATTCAGCCAATTAAATATAGTAATGGCACCTACCTCTACTTTGGAGAAACAGTTCATTTTATCAAGTGGCTTGCCAGGTCATGGCTCAGGGATACTAACTTTTTTTCACATTTTTACTAATGCTGTATTTATCCCACATGCAAAACTCAGTTTTTATTTTCTTAAAGGAACTGTCCCCACAGAGTAAATGCCGTTAAATGAGAGCATTACACAGATGATTTCTGACTCTGAATTAATTAGATCATAAAGACATACAAAACTGCAGCAAATGAAGTTCCAGATTATCAAAACCTGAAGACCACCCAAACAACTCTCTACAAACAGGTTACTGTTTAAGTCGTTTATGTGCTCTGTTTGCTTATATTCACTTCTGAGAAATTAGGCATTTGCTGTGTCCTGATCAGTCAAGGTCAAGCTGTAAGCAATACTATTTCTTCTTAGAACTATTTAAGGCTAGATATTGAACAATTCAGGAAGATGAGAAGGAAAAACTGACTGTTCTATTTAGACAGCTCAAGTAGAAGTTCTCAGTGTCACAGGTCCAACACCAGCACTGGATGATGAGGTTAAACAGGAACCTTCCTCGCCCCTGCTTGGACTGATGGAATCAAAAACGCTGGGCTAGGAGACCAGTTAATCTGTGTTTTCATGTACCCTGTAGTGATTTTCATGTACCCCGGTATTGAGAACCTCCAAATCAGAGATTTGAAAGATAGTAGTGCATTTAGAGAACTTTAATTTCTTCAGCCTGGCTCAACTTTAGACTAAGTGTGATAAAAGCTGAGGATGAAGATCAGGAAAGATGTTAATGTGCCATCACCTGGGATCTGTACAGTATCAGGATGATGGAAACTACTAAAACACTTGTAGACAAGGAATTAGCACAGAAGTACCAGCTAAAATCACTCTCAGGACAGGGTGAGAAACACCTGAGTCAATCTGTGACTCGGCCTGATTGTTTGAGAGATTAAGTGATGTCACAATTACAGAATGCTTCAAGCTTGAGAAAGGCTAAATTATAATGGACTAAATGAGAAGACAAAAACAAGCTTCAGGTTTTTGAAAATGAGTACGTGCTAAAGCTACTAAAAGTGCTTAAAAATACCTTCCAAGTGCCACATTTAGAAAGAAAATAAAATTTGGGTTTTGTTGAATTTAAATTCCTATGGCTTGCTGCAGTTGTGGGAGTTACAATTCTGGTTGTCAACCAGGTAGTTAACTGGCTATGTGGAAAAGTAAACTGTAGCAACAGGTGAGTTTTGTTGTTGTTTGGTTGTTTTTGTTTTTTGTTTGTTTTTGTTTTGTTTTTGAGACAAGATCTCAGTATGCAGCTTGAGCTGGACTTGAACTCACTTCGTAGCCCCGGCTGGTCTCAAACTTACAAGGATCCTGCAGCCTTAGTCTCCAGAGTGCTGGGATTAGAGGCATGTGCCACCATACCCAGCCAGATGAGATATTCTGGAGAAGCTCTGTAAGAAAATAAAACAAAATATCCTTGGAGCTTCTTTTTTAAAAATGACCTTTCCTATGGGCATAGTAGGCAGAAAAAAATAAGTCAAAGGAAACTTTAGATTCTGGTTTTTGTATGCTCACCCTGAACCCACCCACCTATTGTCTAGCTACTAAAATCATCTGGCTAGGTATGAAAACTTATATCTAACTTGGAAGAGATGTGGTTCGCTAAATTTCAAGAGCTATCTGGTTTCATAAAAGATAAATGTTTAAAAGAACCCTATTAAAAACTCTAAGGCTACAGTGCTTAAAAAGCTTAAATTTAACCTAATGCTGAATGGAGAGAGAGAGAACATTTCCATAATTTCCTTGAAATGACAACAACAAAAAGATCTTATTTGAGGCACAACTTTAAATATTGATATTTTGGGCAAATGAAAAATCAAAAATCACACAAAGACAGTTCCCCAAAACCCTCTTTCCTCTGATTTTATTGGTATTCAAATTTTGGGTTGTTCAGACATTCCCAGAACAGAGGATTGCATAGTTGTGAAATTTATTCAATACTTTGAGCTATACTAAGTTAAGGAAGTTTAAAATATAATTAATTTCTACAGTACTTCTTGGTGCAAGAGTAAGTTGTGAGGTCACATGCTTATTGTCCTGTGTTTTACTTTAGAGCTATAAGTAATTTATAACCAAACATTGTCCAAAAGACATACCTGATGATCCTCAGTGCCTTCCCAGGCCTCTCCACTGAACCTATAACAATTTGGAACACACATGCAGGCAGACACACATTTAAGGGTGAGAGGGAGATGTATGTCCAATTGTCTCTTTCCACCAGTGTCTCTTCATTGTCTCTAAAGTACGGATAATGAGGCCAGAAGTGTAATCACTGAAGAAATTTGCAGCCCTAATTACGGTGCTAATCTCAAACATGGTAGTCACTGCAACACAACAAAACTCACTTTATAGCTGTCAGAGCCACTTGGAATGTGATAAGCATCTTGTGTTTGCAAACACAGATGCTAGAGCAGAGGAAGTTCCATATTAACAAAATTACCACAACGACCTGCTACACTCATTCTGATTTTGTAATGAGAAAGCCCATTAAACTAGAATAACTTTTAAATTGTGCCTGTTGAAGTTAAACAAGTTTCGAGGGGGTGGGAGAATTAAGAAAGATGGCAGGGTTGGGAGCCTGTTGAATTTCAAGTTTTGAAGCATGGCATCTTGCAAACGTCTCTGCTTTCATCTGTTCCCACTTAGCACTGGAGCACTGAAGTTTAAGGGGTTTTACAGGGGTCCTTAAAATGAAGCACAAGGCTCTGAGATTACGGATCAAGCCTGAAGGGAAGAAGGGACATTTCCACAACTAAACACAAATGTCCATGGAACGTGCACTTTTTAAACTTTTATTTTTACTAAGTTTTGCAGCATACTATGATTATTTCCTTGTGAGGCGTTGGTACACGAATATAACACATTTCAATCTGTTTCACCCGTTTCCACCTGTTTCCATCCTCTCCTCCACTCTCTCCCCTCCCCTCCCTCCATCTCTTGCCCCCTTTCCTTTTGTAAAAATCCTCCCTACTCTCAAGGCTTCTCTGTACTCAGCATTCTCTCTTTTACTGGGATACAGAAAACATCCCCATCCTCCTCCAGTCAGAGAAGAGGGCGTTGTTGCTTTCCTGTGCACCTGCTGACATCCTGGAGGTGACTTTTCTCTACCCTTCAGCGGGAGGCCTGGGACCGGTTGCTCTGCAGCAGCCTCCCACCCCAACCCTTTGTGACGCGAATGCCCTTGCTCCCCATTGGCACAGTGGGCTTACATAGGCAGGCGCACACTGCGCCTCCGCTCAGGTCTCCGAGCGCTTCACCCTGGCTTGGACTCCCGAGCACCTCTGAAAGCCAGCCCTGATACCTCCATCACTGACCATGGCCAGCCAGACCTGCCTCCCTCTCGCCCCACGCCTCTGCCCTCTTAAACCTCTGAAGCCACACTGTGGAGACATCCAGGCGGGAATTTGTGTGGTGATCGAGCGCAGCGACAACAGGATCCACCTGGCTGTGGTCACAGAGATCAACAGAGAAAACTCTTGGGTCACAGTAGAATGGGTCGAGAAAGGAGTCAAGAAAGGTAAGAAGATTAATCTGGAGAACATCTTTCTGCTGAATCCAGCTCTGGCCTCCGCTGAACACCCCAAACCAATCAAGCCGTTGCCCCCTTTGTGTCTAGCAACCTCTCCAGCCATCGGAGACCAGTGGGCAACCCCACAGTGGATGACCATGGCCCCCCAGAAAAGCGAAACACCGTCAGGAGACAGCCCAGCTGTGGGCGTCCCCAGCCATCCCTGTCTGTTGAGGCAGAGAAAATCTCCTTGTCTGCGAGAAATTGAAAAACTGCAGAAGCAGCGAGAAAAGCGCAGGCAGCTGCAACTGCAGATGCGATCCAGACGCGCATTAGAGGTCAACACCAGACACCCCAACCACGAGGTCAGGCGCATGATAGAAGAGTGTCGCAAGGGCCTGGACAGCAGCAAGATTCCCACGCCTGGCCTGGAGCTCCCTGAACACCAACGGATCTGTGTCTGCGTGAGGAAGAGGCCTCTCAACCAGCGGGAAACCACCATGAAGGACCTGGACATCATCACTATCCTCTCGGGCAGCATGGTCATGGTGCATGAGTCCAAGCAAAAGCTGGACCTCACTCGCTATCTGGAGAACCAGACTTTCTGTTTCGACCATGCCTTTGATGATACGGCGTCCAACGAGTTAGTGTACCAGTTCACCGCCCAGCCTCTGGTGGAGTCTATTTTCCGCAAGGGCATGGCCACCTGCTTTGCCTACGGACAGACTGGCAGTGGGAAGACGCACACCATGGGCGGAGCCTTTTCAGGAAGGGCCCAAGACTGTTCTAAAGGTATCTACGGCCTGGTGGCTCAGGATGTCTTTCTCCTGCTCAACAGCTCCACTTACAAGCAACTAGATCTCAAAGTCTATGGGACCTTTTTTGAGATTTATGGTGGCAAAGTGTATGATTTGTTGAACTGGAAGAAAAAACTGCAAATTCTTGAAGATGGCAATCAGCAAATCCAAGTGGTCGGCCTGCGGGAAAAAGAGGTGCATTGTACGGAGGAAGTGATGAACCTCGTGGAACTAGGCAACAGCTGCCGGACTTCCGGGCAGACCTCCGTTAATGTGCACTCATCCCGGAGTCACGCAGTGTTTCAGATCACGTTGAAGTCCAGAGGAAAATTGCACGGCAAATTTTCCCTTATAGACTTAGCTGGAAATGAAAGGGGAGCGGATACAGCCAAGGCCAACCGGAAGAGGCAGCTGGAAGGGGCAGAGATTAATAAGAGTCTCCTTGCCCTCAAAGAATGTATCAGAGCTTTGGGTCAGAATAAGTCGCACACACCATTCAGAGCCAGCAAACTCACGCAAGTGCTTCGGGATTCCTTCATCGGTCAGAACTCCTCCACTTGCATGATTGCTACTATCTCGCCGGGGATGACCTCTTGTGAAAACACCCTCAACACTTTAAGATATGCAAATAGAGTAAAAGAATTAGCTCCAGAGGTAAGGCACTACCATCATTGCCTCTCAAAAATTAGACAGGAGGCACCACAGATTTTAGAAAAGCACATTAAGAATTCACAACTGTCCCTTCAGGGGGATGAATTTAGGAAAATACCTTGTGTGCAGAGTAATGAGGAGAAACCAAGTAAAGAAGTCTCAGTACTATCCGCCCCACTAAGGAAGGATAGGAATTCCTGGCAGGAATGCAGCCAGTGGTGGGAGAACATCCAGGAGACAGCTGATGAAGTGGACTATGAGGTAGAACACTGCATTGCCCACTCTTTGTCTATTTTGGAGGAGAAAATTGATGTTCTGAGTACGATCCAAAAGAAACTGAAGTTATTACGAGCTGATCTCCAAAAAACCAAGGTAGAGTAAAGCAGACAGCAAGAGACCGGGATTGAGATGGTGGACATTATTGCAGGTTCTATTCCTCTTATAGAAGAAACTTTGCCCAAATTGTCTAAGCGTAAAGATCCTCCTGGAGAGCTTACAGCATCTTAAAATATGCTGGCTAGAATTATGGTCTTTCTTCTTCCTTTGTATATCTGTAGTTTGTTTTTATTCTGTAAGATGTTGATTCTCAACTGGGAAAAAAATCCCCACCACACCCCCAGGCCCACTCACACACACACACACACACACACACACACACACACACACACACACACACTGAATAATTGCCAGTGTCTGGAAGCATTCTGACTATGATGCTTAGGGGGTGGGAGGAGTGGTCCAAGAGTGGCTTGCGAATAACCAGTGCTGTCAAACATCCTGTATCAACACAGCTTTCCTCAGTGGACATCTGTGTTTGTTTCTGGGTGAAAACATCAATAGTACTAAGGTTGGGAGGCCTGCTGCCAAAGAAACCAGCTGTGATAAAACCAGATCCCCTACCTTTGCAGCTAGGGAAGCAAAATGTTGTGAATTAAAGAGAAGAGAGGAGAAATACACCAAAGGTTTACTCAGTGGATCAAATTTCATGATACCCACTCATAAATCTTTTCCTTTGCATTTTTTGTGTAGACACAAGTGGTTTCTAGGATTCAGTCATCCTGGGTGCAGAGGGAATGGAGGGTTTCATTAAACCTGTATGTCAGAGCCTAGAATTGAAAAGGAATAAAAAAATCTCAGCTGTAATTGTAAAATACTGTACCACTGAGTATCCTGGAGTGATTAAGTGGGGTGTGTGTGTGTGTGTGTGTGTGTGTGTGTGTGTGTGTGTGTTACGTAAGCAGGGGCTTTGTGATTTTGATGTTTTTAAAGGTTTTTAAAATTGTTTTAAAATCTCACACTCATTTTATTCTTTCAGGACTCACTTAAAAGATCTTCCTGTTCCAAACGGGGGAAGGAAAAAAAGTCAGCAAAACAGTAGAAAAGTTCTCCAATAAAGTAGAGCATATCCCATAATTACACAAAGCTCTCAAAAGTTTTAATGCTTTAGATGAATTAGATATGCAAAATCTGTACCGTTTCAGAAATCAGGAAGTCCATCTGTGACTTCAGTGGATTATGAGAGGCCCATTGGTTTAGTAAAGCACATTTCTGGATATGTCTGCGTGGGTCATGGAGATGTGACCTTGGTAACTCTCCATGGTCCCTGGCTCATTCGTCTCGGCCGCTTGTCCTTTGCTCTGCTTCTCCACTGCATTGAAGTGAGCAACTTTCCCCTGGCAAGTTTCTGCGATGATGTTTCTGCCTTCCGGCTGGCAGCTAACCGTGGACTGAATCCTTTGAATCTGAACAAATGTAAACAACCCCTCCTGTTAACAGTGACGTCAGGCGTCATGCCCCTGCTACGAAAAGTAAATCCTTTTAGTATCATCCTTTTAAAAAGCAAAAAGAATGCTAACCTGGTGTGCCAACACAAACCTAAGAAATTAATCCATATGACAAAGGAATAGTCTAATAATCTGCAAGCATAGTTTTGAAACATTGTAACAAAAAATGATGATCTGGCTCTGTCAGTTCTAAAGCCATTTTAGAATGAAATAATTTGCGTGGCAGATTGGGGACATTTGGAGACACAACTGATGGTCTTTATATCTTATGAGTATGTTTAGTAGGTATAGCTATTGTTTAACATTTCACATATTGTTTACAATCTTTGCCCTTATAAAGATTCCATCTGTCAGCACTGAGGGAGACTTACATCTTTGCCATAGTACTAAAGAGACATCAGTTTCAAATGGTTAAGATCATCATGAGTATTTGGCCTTATTAATATTTCCATATCTAATTGCTTTCCCTCTATTAATTGATTAAACCAACCTAATAAAACATGAGACTTTGAAAATCGGTTCATTAAGATGATCTTTAAATCGCTAAGAGATTTTAAAAATATATATTTACAATGAAAACGAGGTGAACAATCTCCCGGGGCTTCTCAAACGAGTCTCAGTGTATAGATAAATCTTTGATTTAACAAAACCATCTTAGACCTACTGAGCTCTTTCTAGGAGCTCAGGATGACCTGCAGATGCTATTCTAAAAACAAACAAACAAACAAACAAATTGAACAGTGATTTTATTTTCTCCCTCCCTTCCTCTCATCTTTCATGGCAATTTCAAGTTTTGTCATTAATCTTATTGTTCTTATTATCTCCAGACTTCGCCACACGTGCAACTCTAGGTAGTTTAACAGGAGTTTCAGCACACTGATAGCAGTTTTTAATCTTTTAATGAACTGTTTTGTTGCAGTGTAAAATAAAGTTCACAAATAGCTCCAAAGGTCTATGTATGTGTATAAAACAAATGTAACTATCTGATGACCACACGCATCAAGATACAGAACAGTCCAGGTGTGGTGGTGCACTCCTGGAGTCCCAGGACTCCTGACAGTTTGAGGCAAGAGGATCACAAGTTTGAGACCAGTCTGGGGTACTTGGCAAATTCACGAAACCCTGTCTTAAAATAAATGATGAACTAAGGGCTGGGGAATACAGGTGAGTTTGAGACCTTGAATTCAGTCCCAGTACTGAGAAAAAAACCATCACAACATAACCTGTATCCCAGATACCTCAATCCTATTGCATTGCCATCAAATATCATTTTGAATAGCATCACCACATGGGGTTCCCCTTATTATATGAGCAAAATTATATACTAAATACAGTTGCATCTCTGGCTTCTTCCATTCAAAATTATCTATGGTCTGACCTTTTATATTTCTAGTTGTATTTTACCAATAAGTACGCCAACGCATAAATTTGAATTTTGATGGATAGTGTTATTTCTGCTTTAAATTGTTCCTAGCAATGATACCCTAGATATTCTTACTCATGTATTTTGGTATACACTCACTCACTCTTTCATTTAGCATGCTTAAGTGTGAATATTATTGGTCCATGGTATGTGGATAGGCAGCCTAACAAATTATACTAATGAATTCCCCACAGGATTTGTACTGACTTCATATTACCACCAGTATTTTCCAAGAATTTCTGATTCTCCATGATTGCCTATACCTAGTACATTTTTATTGTTATTACAACTGATTTTGTTACTACAACTAATTTACCTGAAAACATCATATCAAAGGTCTTTAGCTATGCTCACTGGCTGTTTTCGACCTTCTCTTTCCTGCAAGATGTTCTGGACATAAATTCTTTAGTTACAGAGATTGCCTTTTTTTTTTTTTTTTTTTTTTTTTTTGTGGTCCCTGGGGATTGAACTCATGACCTTGGGCTTGCCAGGCAGGCGCTTATGCCACTGAGCTAAATCCCAGGCACTAGAGATTGGCTTTTTGATCACTAGTGGTTCTTTTGATAGTCAGAAATTACATATTTAAGGAAATTCCTTTTATCAATATTCTTTAGTAACTAATCCCTGTTAAATAGATCTTTGGGTCTGAGGATATAGCTTAGTAATACATGACTTGCTTAGCATGTGTGAGACCCTGAGTTCCATCCCTAGCACTATTGAAATAAAACAGTCTCCACATATCCCAAATTATGAACCTTGCCTCCTTTATTTTCTTCTAAAATATAAATGTTTCACCAAACTGTAGTTGATTTTTGTGTACAGGGTGAAATAGAGCAGCCAATGTTCTTTTTGTTTTTAATATATATATGCAGGTGAATCAGTATCTTTGTGAAACAGAAATGTCCCACAAGAGTCCAGATGAAAACCTAGAGCCCATGACAATGCTTTCCATGAGTCCATCTTGAGGTCCAGAGCCCATGAGAAGGACTCACGCCTGTTTTATGGATCCATATTGGGAAGACCCAAAAGTCAGTGGTGGAAGCCAGAAAGTCTATGCCACTGAGGAGAAGGAGCTGTGCTGATAGGTTGAGGGACACTGGAACCAAGAAGTCACACTCAAAGACTGGGGTTGTCCTAAAAAGCACCACAGCCATCCTCAGTGAAATGGAGGCCCTGAGCTCCTCTGACAATAAGCACAGTCAAGTACATGCCAGAAAGCCAGCATGACGAGTTTGTTCTGGGGATTAAATGGCACACATCTTCCACTCTGGAGCCAGGAAGTGATGCTCAGTATAAGGACCGGAGTTCCTACAAAGTGAACCATAGCCATTCTCATCAACAAGGTCCCGAGCTCCTCCCATGACAATGGTCGAACTCATACTGGGGAAGATAGTCATGAAGACCTCCTACAGGAGAACGGATGGCTCAAAACAACAATACTTAGAGAAGCCTACGACACCTAGTGCTTCTTCTCCATGTCCGTATTTATGCTGGCAACTTTCCTCAGGTGGAACATCTACGCTCAGCAACCTGCTGATTTAATTCAGCTGGTTTAAACTGACCTCCAGTTTTTAATCCATAACAGAGACTTAACATCTCCTTCAAGAATACTCCTCAAAGACTTACCTAAGATTACCTTACTGTTAATATTATTTTAAATAAATAGAAAGTTGCACTCTAAAATAACAAAAATTATAATATAGTAAATACACAGCCATGTCATTTTATCATCAGTGACTGATTACTACACATAATTACTTTTGCACAATTTCCAGCACAATGTGTTTGTTACATCAGTATCAGCACAAATGCATGAGGAATGTGTCAAGCTGAAACATTCTGATGGCTATGACATCACTAGGCCATAGGAATTTCCCAGATTGGTAATTATCTTATGGGACTATCATCATTTATGCAGTCCATCACCGACCCAAATGTTATCATGTGGCATACTACTGTACATAATTTACCACCTCTGAATGGATTATAGACATTCCTTGTTTTACAACTAAGACCTGTTTCTGCCACCAAGTAGTTAGAGGAATTGGTTGCTAAATGAGAAATTGTGTATAGCATGTACATTACAATATTCCGCACAAAGAAGCGGTCAAAGGCAATTCCAACTTGATGAGTTAGCTTTTATTTGCATAATCATACATGCAGTGCTGAAATGTAGAACAAAACATAAAACTATGGCACTGTACTCTGTGGTAAAACCAGCAAAAATTACAGTACTGCTTTAACGGAGTGTACTATAAAAAAAGATATCCAGGCTTTGCAAACAAGATGTACCAAACAGTACACACACACACACACACACACACACACACACACACACAAAGTGGTGTAAGTCTGAGTGGCAGATTGGAAACCTGAACTGCTCTCCTTGGTTGTAAGTCTGAGTAGTCCTTAAACAAGGAATGTCTACAGTCAACAGTGGTGGTTCTCATTATTAGGCTTTGCTCATCTATTGTGTTTTTAAAATTGGAGAATAAAGCTGAGTATTTAGTTCAGTATCATAAGCAAGCACCTGCCTGGCAAGCACGAGGTAGTGACTTTGATCCCCGGTACCAAAAATAAAATAGGAAAATGAAAAGAAGCTATGAGAGCAATCCATCTATATTTTCTTTAATTCTCCTTTCAAAAAGACTGTATAAATAAAACTAGTTGTGTGTATAATTTATATATATATATATATATATATATATATATATATATACCTGCATATATATGTATATATAATTTTATATATTTCCAAGAGTCTTTTATTCATATCTACATAATACAGTTTAAAATCTCTCCCTCAGTAAAAAATCTGCTTGAGTGCTAACTAGCTTTAGCATCTTTGCACTATTTGGGGTGCAATTTTTTTTCAGAAAGTACATACTAATTTTTCAATTGATTTTAAGACTTTTCTTGAGACTATATAGTTATTGAAATTATGTAGAACATGCATCAAAATTTCACATGAGCATCAGAAAATACAATATTATGTAAATGAAAAAACTTACAAAATGAATTAATTGGAGTCCACTAAAGAAGAGTTGACAGTTTGCACTGACACCCTGAAGTTAAAAAAGAAGGTTGTAAAATAAATTAACACTCTAACAAGATTTTAGGGGAAATGTCAGGGCTACTAAGCTGAGAAAAATAAATACTTTTAGTATCTTTGAAATACCAATTTAGGCACCATAGCTGA